AACAAAAGAACTCAGTACAGGCACACCCAGTCCCCCAACCCTAAGTCTGCATGTATCAATACTCATACCTGCCACGTCCTCAACCACTTAACTCACTCATACAATCATCTCACAACATGTTCGCCAAACCTCGTATCACAACGCATGCACGCATGCACGCACACACACACACACACACACACACACACACACACACACATCACATTCTTCTTTCCCCACAATTATGTCAACGTCAGCCATCATGGATCCATGCGCATGCTTTCATACATAATCCATCCTCCCACCATTCCCCAAAATCCATCGAACTATAACTATATACGCCTTCATGTATCGGTATTCGTGCTTATATACATACATACACACCCCTACCATTCCCCTACATCCATCGCACTATATAACTATGACTATCCGGACTTATGTTCACATTGCATTGCATATGCATCGAATTACACGTTAAAATATCTTAAATATTTTACAACATGTACATATTATATATCAGCAAACAGAGATTATTATAACGCAATAGATTTCATCCGTCAAAACATCACAGAAAGAGGGGCAGCCTGGAATTTTACAGTGGCATCTGAATGCACTTAGAAGTTCAACTGGTCAGGAGGTGAGAGTTGCGGAAGTTTACGATAAACTTCAGTTACAGATCTCCATTACCAATATCTAAAGTATGAATAAAGATCACAGCTTGCTATGACGTGTACTGCATTCCTGCAGAATTAGCAATGTCCTTAGCTCTAACTTTTATGTCTAAATGCTTATGTAGATAAAGACCCAAATGTATATTGGCATGACCATATTATATTCTACGCAAATATCACCACATTTAAAAAAACAAAGCTAGATTGAGTCTTTGATCATGAAGGGCATTAAGAACTGATACACACAAGGAAAAATATTTATGGATTTCAAGGGAGGAACACAGCGTTCCGGAGTATATACTTTCTCCTTCATCAGGTGAATATTATTAAATGCTATGAGGCAGAGAACATATATATGTACCTGTAAGAACAAGAAAAGTAAAAAGATAGCAAAGAAGGAAACGCAACAAGGGAAGCCAACAGATAACTGGCGCTGTTTACCCCGCCTCCCGTTTGCCCATTGTCCATTTCCCATTACCAATCATTCATAAGTTAAGTTTTGCCTTTAATTTGTCCATCGAAAATCAACCATCAACGTCTATTATCTCAACCCTAAAAAATACGAGAATATGTAGTTTACTGAGAAAGTGTTATCCAAATATAATATGTGTTACTGTTGACCACTTTCTTAATGGCATTGTGGGTTCAAAGCTTTCGGCCATGGAAGCCGTGCCATTTTTCACTTGTCAGAGGAGTACACAAAGTATATGTCATCTGGACTAACATTTTTGGTTCGGTGGCTGGGTTAGATCGCTGACTTTGTGTGCTGGCGATTGGGTGCCTCACTCACGGTGTGGGTTCAAATCCCGGTCGGGACTCAACCCAAGAAAGTACGAGAATCTGTACTTTACTCAGAAAGTGTTATCCCAATTATAACATTTGTTGCCATGAAAGCACAATAACGGTATATTCGGCTTTGGATGGGTAATAATATCACAGACATTTACGGATATTGATGATGACTTGGAGGAGCTTCGTAACGCACGTCTTCTCCATTCAGGGATTGGTAAATCAAAATGTGTGTGTACGTGCGTGTGTAAATGTGGGCATGTTGGATGTTACATAAAACATTCATCTTGAGCGGGATGGTAGTTCGAGTTGGATTAGCATGTTAACTATATGATCTTCTTGAGGCAGAGAATGCCTCGCATGAATGTATTGATGAGATTCCTAGGGACATGGGGCCTTTTCGTCCCCAGGAATACCCACAGTGGAGACTTCAATGGTGATAGGGTGTACACAATGTGCTGCCTAGTAGATTGTGTGTCATCAAACCGGACAACGTTGGTCTTTGACTGATTGTGGCGTAAAACACACTTATTCATTTACTTATATCGGAAATTGAATGTTCATCTTAATTGTTATTGATGAACACGTAATATATTTTTAAAGATATAAACAGTGACATAATAACTACAACTTTATGTGAGCATGAGTAGCTCTATTGGAATGAGATGAATAAGTCTTACAAAGTTGTTAGCTTCTTCACAACCGTTTTACTATAAATTGACTTTATTGGGTAATCAAAAAAAGAGATAGGACCTAAAATCCTCAACCAAGTCAGTGAGCCTGATCACCCGATCCCGTTAGTCGCCTCTTACGACAAGCATAGTCGCCTTTTACGGGAAGCATATAGGTTGCTGAAGACCTATTCTACTGCAGGTCGCCTATTTAATGAAATTGTGAACGCTGAGACATGAGCACGTGAGCAGGACATGCTTAATCTTATTTACGAACACCTCGTGATCCATCTACAATTTTATTTTCGCCCAATGGAATAAAAAATGTTGACACTTAAATGACAAATTTTTGGCTTATGCATGCCTTTTTTATAGCCACTACCACGACTTACGAATGCCACGTGCATTTTGCTTTACTGTTTCCGTTTAAGACATTGCAAATCGACAATGTCTTCGTTTTGACGCACCGTTTGTCGAATATCAGGCCACCAATATTTTCCAATAACATGTATCCAATTTAGATACCGGCATTTTGTGTAGTCAGGTTCAGTGAACTACATACTACCACCTGTGCGTTTCTTTTTTGAAGAGTGTATGCATTACTTAAAGAGGCACTGATCTAGAGCAATTCCCCGGGACTGGTTGTTGCCTTTGTTATTGTTTTTTTCCCCATGAGTACTGCATCCATGCAGTGAAAGCATTTTCGGATTTTGGATTGCGTCGATAATACCATTACTACTAGCTTGTTGTCATCCACGTTTTCTGGTATAACCCTACACTTGTGTATTTGTCGTCATTCACTTGATGCTCAGTTAATGATTTTATTACAGGTATAATTAGTGGTAGCACCACTCAGATTACCTGACAAAGGTTCCCATTTGGCATGTATTGTGTCTGGAGTAATTATTCAATCTAAAAACAGGTTTAAAGTGAGGTGAAATGTGTGTGATATAATATATGCACGTGGCAGCCCAGCAAGAGATGAATGATCAGTTGATTTTAAATTACTTTTTAGTGAATCAACGGATCGTTCCTTGTCAAAGGAATAACAGAAAATACGTTGATTGATGAATCACTGTTATCTTGCACAGTGGATATGTCAAAAGTGAGTGTTTACATGTCTAGGTTTACTAAAACAAAGGGCATATATTCATATTATGCCGTGAAGTGCCGATATAAAAGCAACATACTTTGTTCAAAGGCTTAACCGATAATACGTTGATTGCTCACTGTTACCTTACTCAATGGATTTTTTGGGAACCGTCGACGTTATGAAAATAGTTGTCACGTGGGCTTTCTCAGCCGACCATTGAGACTTGACACCTGTGTGAAACACCTGAAACAATCTAAGTGATCAGTTGAGGAACGGACACGGGTTATAATATCCCGAAACGATATATATATATTTTGAAATATTTGATTGTTACAGAGACACGTGACATCGAATAAGTTTCTTTGTACAGCTGCTGACGTGTAGGATAGTATTCCTTTGTGGGCATATTCACGGATACATTCCTCGAACAAGGAAGCTGCCTAAAATTATACACATAAATTTGGTAGGTTATAATTATGATATTTGCCTTTTGTTTTCCTTCATTTGCTGAAGCATTGGACAGATTCATTCTTGTTCCTCTACGTCTTGGTTGGGAAATTCTTCGATGCGCGATAGACGTTGTTTTCACAGGTCTTTTTTTGTAATCGTGTATATATTACAGTCAATTTGTAAAATGTGATTCTCTCAGGCAATCTATTAAAATGTGTAAATATTTCAGTCATTTTGACTGAAAAATCTGTCCATTTCTTTAACAGATTGACTAAAAGTGATTAAGACGATCAAAAGGGCCTTAAAACATCACAATAGATTATTATGTAGGTTGGATTAGAAGCCAAACAATATACAAATGTACTTTTCATCGTAACATTTACAGTCTCTTGGTGATGATATTAAATATAAAAATCTTTGGAATTCGTTTTATAATAATACAGATGGAAATACTTTTCAGTGAATTTGTAAAATAACTGAATATTTAGGCGTTTAATAAACTTTCAAAGTGAAAATTTTGCACATTTTGACTGTAAAAATATAAACACGATAAAATAAGCAATACTCAGGAGAAATATTTACTGAAAGTCAACATTCATGTAGTGTAAACGAAAATCGCACAATTACCAAGCAAGTGACTTATCAAAACTTCGTCACCAGTACCGATGCTACGCACAAAGATACCTACATTTCCTTATTATTTCCAAAACTGTATTTCATTTTCTTGATCAATGTGACCATACGCCGTTATACTATCAATAGCGCAGCACAGGTCGCGAACTAGATTTCTACTGTATCATCCAGGTACTCACGGGGAAAAAACAATAACAAAGGCAACAACCAGTCCCGGGGAATTACTTTAGATCAGTGCAAATGATACATCTCGATCCATGGATCTATGGCGTCACTCTATGCACTCACTCCGCATGCACCTGAAGCAAGAAGCAAGAAGTAGCTCTGAAACTACGTGACAAAGAATATAATTAAGTTGCTATCAATAAAATGGTGTCATTTACTTCTTTCCTGGTACTGTTGAATAATTTTGACGTATCAGTTTATTGAAAACACAAGTTTGAGGGATACACTCACATCATTTGTGTCACTTATACGTTTGTTAGATGAAAGAAGGTAGAGTAAGCAATAAAATGTCATATACTAATAAATAAAAATACTTAACGACAGTTTTTTGCCATTAAAAGTATGCTTTCGAGAGGTTAACAATTAACCGTTTAAACAATTACTGCTTTACGACACGGAAAGGTAATTCTTGCTCTCCCGAAAAATGTAAATCTCACCGCCTGTTTAATGGCTTCTTACAGACAAGTTTATATTATATTTTTTTCCAGCAATTAACGGCGGGATGTCGATTTGGACATCATGGAGTGAAGGACCTTGTTCGGTCACATGCGGCTCGGCATTCCAGAATGTAAACAGAACAAGATCCTGTACAAACCCATCACCCCAATATGGCGGTAACGACTGCAGCGGACCTCGTTTTGAATCTATGAAGAGAACCTGTACTCGGTTGCCAAGTTGCCTAAGTAAGTATGCCTCGGTGGGGATTCAGGGACGAATAAATCCCCAGTGAGAGAGTATGCTTTTACGCCGCTTTCAGCAAAAATCCAGCAATATCACGGCGGGGGACACCAGAAATGGGCTTCACACATTGTACCCATGTCGGGAATTCAGGTCTTCGGCGTGACGAGCGAACGCTTTAACCACTAGGCTACCTTTAAACGTTGAGGTCGATTTTATTGTTTGTTGATGTCCGAAAAGCGTTCGATTTGATCAACCAGAAACTCTTGTGGTATTCAATTATAAAAGTATGGAATAAACGGTCGTTTATTGGTGATTGCGAAGGATTCATTCAGTGTACTGTGTTGAGACCCTTTCTGTCCACGATGTTTATCCTTGAATTACAGTATATGACAGTATATAAGTTTTTCAGTTTGCAAATATGCCAGTTAACTTTGTATTTAAATGCTCGATATTAAGATAAAACTCATTCTTCTTTACCGTGTGGAGATTTGGGGTTGCAACGCTAGTCAAAGTGTCGAAACTTTTCACACTAATTTTGGTAAATATGTATCTAGTACGGCGATATTGCGAGATTGGCTGAACGTTGAAGATATGGTTTGAATGTGGATATATGAAGTGTGTTAAATAATGGTGTACATCCCCGACAGGGTTTATTGTTAACGAAGACGGTTGGTGAATTTAGTAAAATTACTTGGGCAACTCATGCTCAATATTTACTCGACATTTATGGACTTTTTTAAAGATATTATTCACACGGTAAGATATCATTGAATACAACTTTCTAAAAAATTGCCGTATACAGTGCATGTTAAGATTAAGTGAATTGCATATACGGAGTAATCTGTACAGAAAAGAGGATACTGTTTATTCACAGCATTTTCTGCTCTATTGAGAACGAAGTTCATTTTCTATTTATCTGCCCGTTTTACAGATCGTTGAGACAAAAGTCTAATCCTGTAAAATTTTCTGTCAATACCTTTAGCAATATCTTAAAAAGCAAAAAATAACTGTAACGAAGGACGCTCTATTACCACAGACTAAGACTACTTTTATACCCAAGTATTGATTTCAAAGTTATTGCCTGATTGTGTGTTACTGTTTACAACTGGAATGCACATGGACCAATGGCCTCCCATTCAGGAATAAAACAGAATAGTTATAATGATCATTCGAAACATCTATTGAACGCGAAAATACTATTGAATTATCGATCGAAAAAATGAACGTTCATTTTTCAGTAGGTTCCTCTTGAAATGCCCAGAACTGCAAAACAACATCGTCTGGTTCTTGTTGACATAGAAGGAAGAGGGCAGAATTATTGAGATTTATAATTAATCAATAAATTTCTCAGCGGGAGAATAAACCCCTAATACACAGCCACGAACAAGACAAACTGCACGTGGCTCTCTGAGAGGGAGTATAAATCCCTAGGCCTCATACCCAACTTCGAAGCCAAAAGCCCCACACCTTTACCGAGTCAATGAAACTCACCTTACCTCCATCGAACAGCTGTTAACTGTCAGTTTTGGATTTGCTTTAATTCTTTTACAATCTCATATTATAACATGACGGTAAGTTAAATTCGATGTAGTTGTATCACTCGGGGTCCACGTGGTTTCATGTGTCCCTCGTTAGGTTTTATACCTAACGCCTGTATCCTGAGTGATACTGCTACAACTTGTGCAGCATAACTGTTTTGATCAATGTGTGTCATGGCATCTAATTCAGTGTCGCCTATAGAGAGTGGTGTCATCGGGGGAGCAGTAGGAATTGCGTTAACGTTTTTGCTGATTGGTGGACTGGCCACATGTCTGCTACGAACGGGAAGGTAACTACACGCATTTCATAAACGTTATACGTTCGATATGATATTAAAATCATTCTTTGAGGAATAATTCAAGCATTAGAGTTTATATAAGACTTTCCGCCATACTTTACTGTTTAAGATTGACATGGAGATCATCTGCGTGCACAGATTCTGCAGACGGGAGACACACGACCGATACAGGTGACACTGGGCAGATTCATGCACATGCGCATGTGTCGGGTGTTACTGCTCACGACTACGCTGAACTGAATGACCTCACAAGAGAGAGAGGTGCGATGCCAACGTATGAAGTCATACAAAATCCAAACAGAGTATAAGAGGGCTGCAGATCATCACCAACCAAAGTTAGGCCTTTATACTCGGGTCCTTGCATGGTGACTGACGCCACTTATGCTACCTGCATGACACCCCAGCAAGAGACAATGTGTTTGCTATGCAATGGTTCAAACATACATAATTAGATCAGAATCAGAATCAGAATTAACTTGTTCTTTGATTGAAACATTTTGGAAAAAAATATTACCAATAATCGATATACCTGAAGTTAAACCATTTCCGATCGGAGCAGATATTCCGATTTATATGCATTGTAACATGATGATTGCGAAATTCAATCAAGGAGAATAATCCAGAACTCGATAGTCCAGCTATATGACGGCGGTCTGTAAATAATTGAGTCTGAACCATACAATCCAGTGATTTACATCATGAACATCGATCCACGCAAATTGGGATCGATGACATGCATCAACCAAGTCAGCGAGTCTGACCACCCGATCCCGTTAGTCGCCTTTTACGACAAGCAAAGTCGCTTTTTATGGCAAGCATGGGTTGCTGAAGAACTATTCTACCCCGGATTTGAATATTAAACTGGTCATACTTTGTTGTGTGTTTGTATTGAGAAATACTGCTGTACATCTCAAGAAATAGTGGATATGACATTCCTTCACAAAAGAATTGTACACAGCAAAAAAAGTGTAGGTTTCCGTCTTCCGGAAACCTTCCGGATACCTACCCATTTTGGATCCGGCCCGGATACCTTTCGGAAACCTTCCCAAAAAAATGTCAAAATTTGGGGGGTGCATTTTGTTCACTTAAGTGTGAAACACATAAAAAAATTATCTTGAAAATACGAAGAAATTTGAAGGTTGCTGAAGGCATCTGGTTGGTTTCCGGAAGGTTTCCGGAAGGTATCCGGATGCAAATTTTCTCCATGTCTTGTTTCTGGTTATTAATGTTAGCCTGTACATATGAGATAGCTGTTGTAATATTCTGTGTTATTTTAGTTGTAAATATCCTCCTTAAACTGAGATATGTGGGCATGCAATGTTCACAAGTTCGATTCGCGACATGGGTACAAATGTGTGAAGCTTATTGCTGGTGTCACCCACCGTGATATTGTTGCAATATTGCTAAAAGTGGCATAACACCATTCTCACTCAGAAAAAATGGAAAGTCATTGGTTATGTGCTTTGGCAACTGGCCCTGGTGAAATTAAAAGATTAGTTTTTGAACGGTATCAGTACTTGTTATATATGGACAGTGTAGTTTCATGGGAGTACGAAACACAATACAATTGTCCCAAATTGGTGCCTAAGACTAATGTCATCCATAAAAAATCACCTAAATAAAGCACAGAAAAAAATATCAATGTTATTTGATTACTAGCTTGGAACTACAACTTTTGTTAAGTGAGCTGTATTCATAGTCGGAAAACATTCAGGGCATTAGTATATTTTATATTTGTTCAGCACCTATGTTATGGCTGATCAGTATCATATTTCTTTATGCTTATGAAGCAAAACAAATAATGTTTTTGGAAAAAAAATCATATTTATTGATTATATGACATTTCAGTGGTAAATATCACAAAATGAAATTTGATCAAGCAAGAAGAGGAACTAGCATAAAGTAACCAGTGGTGTTTGCAAGAACTTACAGAACAGACTCTTCAATGCAATTTTCTAAATAAACACATTAGTCAAATCTCAGAAGAATTTCATGGAAGAAGAATATGTAAAGTCAATTATGTTTCTGCAGTAAACCACAAAAGTCATTCAGATTTGTATAGTCAGAGTCGGTGTACACAACCTGGACATAGTCACAGTGCTTTGGCATAAATTCATTCAGACTTGATAAGTGTCATACTATAGTCACTATACTATAGTCACTATACTATAGTCACACTGATGTGGCATTATTCATTCAGAATCATCACTTTCTGATGTGAATCTGTTGGTTGTTATCGGGAGGATTGTTCATCATCCGGCAAGTCCCTTGTCTGACATGTCTGAGCAAGATCTTCTTAAATGTAGCTGGTGTCAGATTGTGAAATCCAAGTCCTGGAACAACTCATAACATTTTTAGAAACTTGTTATTCAAAAATTATGAAACACATATTTACAAATGTAAAATGTTGTTTTCTCGAACAGTGGGGCATTGACAATTTATCTTGCAACTGATATTTAACCAATCTTTGAACATGTAAATAAGCCATTGCAAACAGAAAAGTGTTCAGAAAATACAAAAATGTATCCGGTCTTCAAAAACAATACCTTAAACGCCACACGGTTCACCTGAATTTTGCTTGAATGTTTGCATTACATCAAAATATATGGAAGGGTAAACAAGACAATGCAAAACTAAGTTACATAGGTTCTTATACATAAAAACAGAACTATTCATAATAATCAAAACTTCAATCAGACAGGTCATGTAAGTGATCTCAAAATACAACATAATGAGCGAGTGAGTTGGTATAGTTTCATGCAGCTCGTTAACAATATTGCAGCTATGGGCTTTACACATTGTACCCAAGTGGTGAATCGAACCTGGGTTTCAGAGATCGTTTTACCCACTAGGCTACCCTAGCACACCAAATACAAAAGAAAGTACATTAGGATTTCAGACAATAGATATTCTCACCAAATTCATTCATTCATTATTGGAAGCTATATTGAAATTCAAATTTTGACAAATTAGGATGAGACTGTAGAAGTATTTATCTAAGTTATTATGGATATTTAATATCTACCGTTAATTGGTAGTCCGACACAGACAGTGATAAGAAATTCAACTGAAAAGCACAACCTGAACCATCAACTAAAAACTATGTATATTACATTAAAGGGGCCGGTCATGTATTACCGGTGTGTTCTCATTCATTTCTGACACTACCCTCCCTGAAAGAAAATGCAAAGCACTTTATATTTTATTGTCTATTTTTTCATAACCCTTTTTACATGACCGGTCCCTCCCCTAGAGACTCTCACATTTTTTGGGTGACCCTCCCCGTTTGTTCTGATCTGAATTAAAATATTCATGGCAATATTCTTGACTAAAATCATTATCATATTTTTATCATATTTTTTATCATATTTTTATCATATCTTATCACACCTTATCATACCTTATCATATCCTATCTTTTAAAAAAAATAACTTTATGAAGATTAACAATAACATGCAAATCTGCCAAAAATATTGGTCTGGCAAAGTTTAAATTAATCATGATTACTGTTATAAAGTTTTGGATACATCGTCTGTTTCTAAATACAGTGAAACCCAACTTTGACTTGCATGACATTATTGAATCATCGACCCAATGTTCTTTATGCATTGATATGCATCTGCACAGAGTGGTCAAAGTCCTTGTCTGACACATAGTGTGCTACAAGGGAGACATCTGTTTGTGTCCAGCCAAACTGTCTGATAATCTCAAGGGCTGCCTTGGTAGCATCAAGGGATGGAGCTAATCCTAAATAAACATAAAACAAGTGACATCATCTTTTCTACAGAACACATGATCAAAGCCTGCCCCACCTTTGATGTTTATTACCTTGCTACTCTAAAAAAAGCTAATTAGCAAAATGAACTCAATGTCAACTCATTGTGGGCTAGGGATTAACAGGGCAATTAGTGTCGTGTGGGTATTAGCACTTGCAATTGTCTGTTAATTACTTAATTGAGTAGTGACGGCTTAGTCAGTTGTGCATTTACAACCATGCTGACTGCTATTCAACCTATCAAGTCAGTTTACTATGTAACAAGCTTCTGGGGACCAAGGAAATGTATCTTGCTGGATAACAGTTTTTTTTCTACTTTATGAGATATCTGATATATAATAATGACAGTTTTGATGTGCATTTCTTTGTTTTGTTCACTAGGATGATTAGTAGTGATGGTATTTGAATTAGACACTATTTATTCCAAAAGAGGAATAGGGTTGGTGAAGAGGCAAAGCTTATTTGAACACAAAGACATTTAACAATTAATAAACAGAAACTGTACAAAAATCAGATTAACTGTTTAGATTAACTGTGCCTACAGTTGAAACTATCATGATGCAAATTTTCACTGAATCAAAGTCATATTTTTTCATGACTCAGATCAGGTTGTAATGATTTAACTTGCTAATCTCAAATGACCCATCCCGACTTATGGCGCTTTTTATGATTTGGTTTGGTTTGTTGTTTTATGCCGCACTCAGCGATATTCCGGCTATATGTAAATAATCGAGTCTTGACCAGACAGTCCAGTGATTGACATCATGAGCATCGACTCACACAATTGGGATCAATGACATGCTTCAACCAAGTTACCAAGCCTGACCGCCACCCGATCCCGTTAGTCAACTCTTTAGACAAGCATAGTCGCCTGTTACGGCAAGTATTGGGTTGCTTTATATTTGTGTGTCCAAATTACGCGATTATTAGAAATAATATGTATTATTATACACATGAATATGATATATAAATGGCTTAATATGGTAATGTTGAAAATTATGTACAGGAAAACATTGAAAGAATTCATCGATACATGCATTTGTCAGAATCTGTTAGATTTAATCAATATGGTTTCATACTTGAATTATCTACTTACAATTTAATAACTACATTATTGCTTAACTGATAGTATTGAACTTTATTGTAACTAATACTTTTTGTGTATTTGATAAGCATATATATAGGCAATCAGATTGTTTGCAAATCCATTACATTTTGAAATAAATATGTTCAAAACACATGTAGTAGTACATATTATTTAGAAGATGGCAATAGTTATGACATGAAAAGATGTAATGTGTAGGATTCTCAAAATGGTATCCACAACGGCAGGTAGTAGAAACATGTTGTGTTTGTTGTTTAACACAATATTCCAGCCATATGACAGTGATCTGTAAATAATCGAGTCTGTACCAGACGACCCAGTGATTGACAATGTGGGCATTGATCTAAGCAATTGGAGCAGAATCGTGAATATTAACCTAATGAAGGAGTAAGTATATACACAGAAATTTTGTGATCCTCATAATAAAGAAGTTGACATCAATACATTTCCTCCTTTAAGTCCTTATGTGTATCACTTGTAAATAACTTTCATAGACTTCAGGAGTATATCTGTGATACATGTGTACACTTAAATAATTTCACTGCATCCTTACCTGAGGCAGGAATCGATAATTTGACAGAAACCGTAGTCAAATTTATAGCCAAATACAGGTATTTGAAGATTTTCAGTTGTGGCAACACTTTCAGTAAATCCCATACAGTATTTGATTTGTAGTAGTAAACTGTTCTGGTATTTTCTATTTGTAGCTGTAAAGAAGTTCCAAAATTGTAGCGAGCACCTGCACAGACATTAGGAGAAACAAGATGACATATATATTGACCCATTTGTAAAATTTACAAA